GGGGGAAACGGGTGGGCCGGCCGGCTCCCCTCTCCTCTGTGTGTGTGTGTGAGTGTGTGTGTCTCTCTCTCTCTCTCTCTCAATTCTCCCCCACCCCAAAAGCGGGGAGGGGGCGACCTTGCAAAAGGCTTGAAGGCTTCTCCCCGTTGCGGGGAAGGCTTGAGGTGCACCTTTCTCGGCCAGCCCGGGTAAATTCGGCTGTATTCTTCAGCCAATTCTTCATGTGATGCTCCAGGTACGGCCCTCCCCCTTCCGTTCCCTGCGGCGCTGCGTGTCGAGGCCGGGACGGAATACCCCGGGCCGCCGCAGCCAAGCGCGAGGGGGAACGCCAGACGCCTCACGCGAAGGGGGGAGGCCTGGCAACGCTGCGCTCTGCCGGGCGCTCACCGACAAACCGGCGGGAGCCGAGGCGGCCAGGGAGGAACAGCCAACTGCCGGCAACCAGCCGGAACTGCTGGGGCCGGCCCGTATTGAAGAATATGGCCGAATTTACCCGGGCTGGCCGTATATCGGCGTATAACACGCACACATCATTTGCCCCCTATTTTCAGGGGGGAAAAGTGCGTGTTATACGCCGATAAATACGGTATGTAAAAATGGAATTAACTCTTAATTAGGATTGGGGCAAATGTATGATATTTGTCTGTGTGCTTTGGGATCAGAAATAGTCAAAAAGATTACATACTTCCCTACATAGTATGAAGAAAATTGTATACTTTATCTCATACTATATGGAAGTATGCTGGAAAATAATTTTCTTTTCATTTCGATGGGCTGGCTTTGCGAGAATATATAATAATAATGGTGATGTATTAAGCTCGTGTTCTGCCTAACTCTCAATGGCTCTGGGCAGCTGACAACAAAGACATTACAATAATACAATTTTTTTAAAAGCATAAAGAAGTAAGGAGTCGCACTCTCCCTTGTCTAAGTCTTCATGGCTCTTCTACATAATAGTAGAGTGGAAGCCATCCAGATTTTGGGATGAACCTAGTTCCAGAGTGCAGGTGCTGCTACAGAGAAGATGTGCTTCTGCTGTCTGAAGAGATGAGATTCTTTAATATTGAAGGAACCTGAATGCACCAGTATTGCAGGATTGAATCAGCTAGGTGGATGTTATGGGAGACAGCCCTATGTCATGTAGGCTTTATAGGTAACATCCAGCATCTTAAAATCACACTTGGAATGAATTGGCAACTAGTACAGTTTATGAAGCAGAAGTACTACACGGCTTACTGGAGGTACACCGGACCAGTTGAAGCGTCCAGGTGATCTTAAAAGGCAGCCTCATGTAGAGAGATGCCAGATGACTAGGGCATGAGTTTTTAGTTGACTCATTTTACTTCTTTTATTCATAGCCCTGTTTCAGTATTATCTGAAACTCTGTAGGCAACAGTAACAATAATTACAGTGCCTTATTTTATATCATGTTTATTGGCTTATTCTTTTTCCAAATAGTTTTAATACTTACAAATGGAAAGAATAAAAACTACAAAACATATAGAAGGAAAAAAACAAGTCTCAAAAAGAAAAGGGGAGGGGAGGAAAGTAACTTTCCCCCTTCATCCAGGAAGTGAAAATAATTTTAATAGCTTATTACCATCTCTTAATACAATAGGTACTGTCTTCTCCCCATAATTCATCACTTAGTTAAAAAGCAAAAGCCCTTTCATTTGTTCTTTATCAGCAAAAGTCCAGTAAGAGAATCAAATATAACTAATATTATATTTTTAATCTTGATTGAATAAGCCAACTCTGTAATCCTTCCCCAAATTTTAAGTCTTAGTTTTTAACCCCTTCAAATATAGTCCTAAAGCTTGTTTTGTATTTGTATTTTCTTTTAACTCAAGGATATGCCACAACTTTAAAAATCTCTGAGATAAATTTGTCCTTTTGAAAAATCACTTGTCATAAAGTAGTTTAAGATTTTAACAGACCACCAGTACTATGGATCCAGTAAGAACAAGTTACTCAAACCACTTTTCTGGCTTAATAATTTTTCATCTTCTTTAAACAGTGAATCATCCATCAGTTTCTTTATATTTCCATATTCTGCTTGTCTTATTTAAATCCACATGTAAATTAATTTCAAATGTATCCATTGTAGCTTGTTCTTCAGCAACTTCATTGCCACATGACCCATCATATCAAGTAATTTTAAAGACCAAAATTCCAAAACATCCAGTAAAAGATTTTTGCTCCATTCTTGATGAAATGAATTTATTATCCTCTCTAGCTCCCGCAAAATCCCATTATCATATTTCCTCTTAAACCTGACAAATTGCCATTTCCCACTGGAAAAATTCTAATTACCGGTAATTCAAAACTATAATTTCAATTCAATCTGAATAGGATTTCAAGATTCTGTTAATGCAATTTACAATAAAGTAGAATTAGTTCATCTAGTCTTCTCTCCTGCCTGGTTTACCGGGGGGGGGGGGGCTTTCAATCTGGCAAGTCTAAAAGTACAAACTTCCCACTGACACTTTTAACTGCTTGAACCATTACACCCAAATTTTCCTAAGTTTCTTTCTCTAAGCATTAAGCCAATGGGGGGCTCTTGCCCCTCTTGTCTGATTGTTTCCTAGGCAGCATCTCTTCTCAGTGTTCCCCAAGGTCATCCACACAGTCCATTACAGAAATCATTGGGTCCAAAGATGACCTTTTGAGGTGGCACACCATCACATCTTTCAAGGCAGGAGGTATCATCTCCTCCCTCCTGGGCCTAGTCACAGCTTTGGCTTCTTCTAGGATCTAAGAGGGATCCCGATCTGGTAAAGAGGTGGCCAAGCTGATAGCACAGAGAATCTTGTCCGCTTCCTCTGGAGTCACTCAGCCTTCTCTGCCCATTCGTGGTCTAAGTTGAAATCAATTTGAGTGATTTTATTTATCAGCTAATCCTCATAGTGGATCATTGGATGTTCTGAGGGGGGACCTATTCATAAGGATACTCTAAACAGAACTGCTGAATGACTATCAGAAGATGGAATAAAGGGAGAAAAATAATTGATATTTTGCTAACCTTTTCACCATGAAATAATTCCTGATACCTACTTTTAGCTGTGTCTGGTCAGACACTCAACTTCAGGTTTTTCTTCAAAGGAACATTGTGGTTTTTCTAGTTTTTCATATCCTGGAGCTGCTTGGTAAACCAAGGGGCACCCTAGGACCAGCAGACAAGGAGAGGCTGTCTAGGAGCAATATGATCCAAGGCCCCTGGTACCTGCCATTACAAGTAGCGACTAGGCCTGAACTGAACTGCCTACCAGCTCCTTAGGGAAATCCCTACGGTCTCCTTGAGATCCCATTAAGTCCATCAGTAGCCTAGGACTTGCCAATTGAATGGGCCCTGTTTCCTGTATGGAAGGGATGACACCAGTGAATCAAAAGAGAGTCATCTGTCCACAGCAATGGATTGATGTTATGTCTATCTATAGCTATAGTCAGATTAGTTGAATTAACTGCTAAGGTTGTATTTCAATGCTTGGGATAAAGTTCAAGATTTTAACAACTTGTTAATACTGCTTGTAAGGTTTAAGAAATGTTTGTTGAGAATGGATAATTCTTTAGCCTAAATAAATTAGGTGTTTATCATATACAAACCTTCATTTTAAAAAAATCAGGATTTTTTAATGCATGTATTTCGCAAAGCTGGAATTAGGACAGAAAAATCAAGCTTAGTTTCATTATCCAAAATTTAAATGTTAGGAATAGAATATTTTTCTTCTTTACACCTTTATTTTGATACTGATCTAATTCATTGTTCTTACAGAGTTGTACTTCATTGATCTATACCAGAAATGGATATTAGAGCGTAATTACTAGAGGGAAGTAATCAGCGATAAGCTCTGCTTCAAGGTAATATTTCTGTCTTTCTTTTTGCATTGGAAGGTTTGGCTTGCTAATTGTGTGCATCTTGGGCTTTTTGGTGTTGATCGAATATATTCAGTCTTTTATCAGAAAAAGTACATTTGAAAATAAGCTTTAGTTCGCTATGTCATTTTTATAAAGTTTTATGATTCTAATCTATTAACTGTTCAGAGTCACCTAGGTCAGTGATGGCAAACCTTTTAGAGACCGAGTGCCCAAAAACTGTCCCCGCCCCTGCTCTGCCCCCCCATCTCCTGCTCCGCCTGCCCACAGGACCACTCACCTCCTCCAGGGCCCGCCGCAGATCGCCCGGGCAGCCCAGTAGCACTATGGCAGCCACACCCTCTGCCCGCACCCTGCAGCATCAACTGCATGATGGGGTGTGAGGGCAGAGTCTTGTCTACGCTGCCTGGCTGCCATGTCCTTGGCTGCGCTGCTCCGTGTGGGCCATGCTCGAGGGCGACTCTCCTTCAGGGGGGCTGCTGGAGAGGGGGTTGTGGGGGGAGACAAGGCTGGGGCAATGGCACGTATGCCCACAGAGAGGGCTCTGAATGCCGCCTCTGGCACCCGTGCCATAGGTTCGCCACCACTGACCTAGATAATGTGAAGAGTGGTACAAAAATTTGATAAATAATGTGATGGTTAGGGTTAATCAAAAAGGAACTATTTACCAAATAACAGTTTGGTATTGTGAAAGATGCTGAAAGATAAGTGAACTTCTGGTGCAGCCTTTCTCAACATTTAACATTTAACCCTAGAGAGCCCTTGAAGTAATTTTAGGGAATCCCTTCAGAAAACAACCAAAAAAAATATACAAAAAGATATATAAGATATTGATGTAGTTGAGCTTTATAGGCTCCAATGACTATGGCCAGTGATGAAGAATGAAGTTATAACTTAAGAGTGGTTTGAAATTGCATACTGCTCATCCCCTTTATAAATAAATGGTGCTCAGGTTTGTGGCAAATCTATTTGTTTAAAAAAAAATCATGTTAGGCTACTTGTTAGGCACAAAAAGAGATAGTTGGTGGCCAGAGGAGACATGTGGCTTATCTATCCCTGTTTTAGATGGTTAAAACAATTAAATTCAGGTTCCAACTTATATAAATTAGACTTTAGAGAAGTGGCTTTTTGCTCATGTGATATGATATAGTTTCTGAAGCAAAACTATTGCATGACTCAGGGATTGTTGGCCCAATAGGCAGGGTAGCCACAGGGACTGACCTTACCCGTCGCTCTTTCGCAACGCGATCCGAAACAATGGGCATCACCTGGCACCTTTACCCCCCTGGGGGGAACGGACAAAAAACTATTCAGTGTGGCGCCAGACCAGTCACAGGATCTCGAGGTGCCAACGGTAGATTAACCCTTTGGTCCCCTCTTGTCCTCGTCCATGGTGTCGGGGGACATGGCAGAGGTGCTAAAGGCTGATGACATTCCGCAGAATTCACCAGGCAGCGGCGTGGGCAGTAAGAGCTGCCACCTGCACATCCTTCTTTGCCAGAACCTCCCTACTCTGGCTCCGACAACTACAAGCCAGGCTTCCTCAGGAGGAGGTATGTACCCAACAGGACCTGAGCAAGCTTGTGGCAGCATCGGAATACATCTCGGATGCCACACTACATGCGGCCAGGTTCTCATCTAGAACCATAGCATCCAACGTCTCTGCACGCAGGATGCTATGGCTCAGACATTGGCAAACCGACCCAAGGCCAAGTGGCATCTAACTACGGCTCCTTATCAGGGTGGGAAATTGTTGGGGAGGCCCTGACGCCTTATTTGATCAAAAATAAGGACAAGCGGAAGGTGTTGGTCCATTCCAGCAGACTGGCCGAACAGCGTGCAAACCCGTACACTCGGAGACAGTCCTTTCGACCAGGAAGAGGCGCCCTCAGCCCCCGTCCCTTCACGGCCAGACAGGATCGCCCGTCAGACAGGACCGGACCCAGACCCAGACAGCAATTCCAGAGCAAACGGCCCTTTCGAGGGGGGGTCGTCCCTATAGAAGGTCCAAGTGACTCGAGCTGCCCCCCCATAGGTGGCAGGCTGGCGCTCTTTCCCCCCCCCCCAGTGGGAGGCCACCACCACAGATTCCTGGGTTCGCCAAACCATTCAATACTGTCTGATCCTGGAATTCATATCCAGCCCCCCAGGGCGCTTCATTCTTTGCCCTCAATCAAGGAACCCTGTCAAAAGCAGCCTCATGCGAGAGGCCATTCGACACCTCCTGGAGATAAAGGCCATAGAATCAGTGCCAACAGGACAACTGGGCAAGGGATTCCTCTTCGTGGTCCCCCAAATCTCGGGGGGATGGAGGGCGATTCTAGACCTCAAGGATTTGAACCGCCATATCGCATACCAAAAGTTCAAGATGCAAACCATTCAATCCATCTTGGGCAGTGTTAGGAACGGAGACTTCCTGATCTCAATAGACCTCACGGAAGCGTACCTCCACATCCCAATCTTCCTCAACAACCGGCAGTTCCTCAGGTTCTGCTACGCGGGCCATCACTACCAATACAGAGCCCTCCTGTTTGATCTCTCAGCAGCTCCAAGGGTATTCACCAAGGTCCTGGCAGCGTTGGCCGCACACCTAAGAATGGTACCGGTGCACCTCCAGTGCTACCTGGACGACATTCTCATTCAGTCATCCTCCCTTCAGGCCGCCCGGTCGGACTTAACGTTGACGATCAAGGTACTTCAGGAACACGGGTTCTCGGTGAACTTTCAGAAAAGTCAGACCGTCCCCTCCACCCGTCTCCTACACCTGGGCGCCGTCATAGACACACTCAGCTGTCAGGTCTATCTGTCACAGGAGCGCCGGGACAGCATCTGGACCCTGGTCTACAGAGTTCACAGGGAGCAAGTAGTACCACTGGTCCTGCTCTCCCAGCTCCTAGGGAAGATGGTCTCATGCATTGCAATAGTCCCTTGGGCCAGACTACACTCCAGGGGCCTCCAATGGTTCCTCCCCCCCTTCCAAAGGCAGGGCATCAGTTCTTCCAACCAAAGGGTAAGGGTCCCCCCCAAACCCTGCAGTCTCTCAGGTGGTGGACCTCACCAGCAGTAGCCAGAGGGTCACACTTCAAGGAACCCACCAGGCTCACACTCACGACGGATGCCAGTCTGTTCGGCTGGGGAGCACACCTGCAGTCCCAATTGGCCCAGGGACGATGGTCCCACGCAGATCTGGAACACAATATCAATTGGTTGGAGCTCAGAGCCATACACCTGGCCCTCCGCCACTTCCGCAACAGGGTGATGAGGCCACTTCCGCAACAGGGTGATGATGATAGGGCCCTCACGGACAACGTAATGGCAAAGGCCCACGTGAATCGGCAAGGGGGCACTCAATCCAGGGACCTCATGACCGAGGCCCAGGCATTGGGCTTCTAGGCAGAGACCAACTTGTCCTCCCTCAAAGCCGAACACATCTCGGGGGAGGCAAACCGACAAGCGGACTTTCTCAGCAGGGCAACCGTAGACCAGTCCGAATGGCACCTGCATCCGGATCTCTTTGCAGAAATAGCGCAGAGGTTTGGACAACCAGTCATAGATCTGTTCGCTTCACCGACCAACTCCCAAGGTTTTTTTTCCGGTTCCCCTCCCAGGGGGCGGAGGGAGCGGACGCTCTCAGATGCCTATGGCCAGGGGAACTGCTTTACGCGTTCCCCCCTCCCCCTGATTGCAGCAACCATCTGCAAGATGTTGCAGGAACGGGTGGAGGTCATACTGGTGGCCCCGTATTGTCCACGAAGACCGTGGTTCGCCTACCTGGTGAATCTCTCCAGCTCCTCTCCATGGAGGATTCCCCCGGACCATGTGTCTCTCAGCCAGGGGGTTCTACAGCACCCAGAACCCCAGTGGCTGCAGTTAGCTGCCTGGCACTTGAACGCCGGATCCTGAGCGGGGAATCATACCCCACAAGAGTAATTCCCATAATTCAGACCTCCCGCCGACCGGCGACAAATCGCATCTATGACTCCACATGGAGGAATTTTTGCAATTGGTGCGAGAGGAAGCTAATAGACGTTTCGGACCTGACAATTCCGAGAATCCTGGAATACTTGCTCGAGGGCCTAGATGGGTTTAGCGCCTAACACCATCCGCAGGCAGGTCGCGGCTTTTTCCACCTTACTTACCTGCGCCAATTCAGTGCCCCTGACACAGCACCCTAGCCACAGCTCCTTTCTCAAGGGCGCCACCAACACTAAACAACCCATGGGATCTGCCACGGGTCCTGTGGGCCCTCAGCAAATCACTGTTCGAGCCCATCAGCTCTTGCTCCTTGAGGTCCCTGTCCCTCAAAGTCAACTTTCTGGTCGCTATCACCTCAGCCAGGCGTATTCTGAGCTTGCGGTACTGTCGGTCGGAGAGGACCTTTGCATCTTTCACCAAAACCGGGTGGTCCTCCGATTGGACCCTACCTTCATCCCTAAGGTCAACACCCTTTTTCATAGGGCCCAAGAAATCATCCTACTGGATTTCTGCCCTAATCCGTCTCATACCTTGGAACGACAGTGGCACACACTGGATGTTCGCAGAGCATTACACTACTATATCAAGCAAACGGCGCCCTTCTGCAAATCTGAAGCTCTCTTTGTTTCCTTTCACCATGCCTCTAGCGGACAGAAGGTGTCCGCCTCAACCATAGGCAGGTGGGTCAAGGCTTGCATCGTGGAGGCGTACGGGTCACTTTCCCTGCCAGCGCCAAGCCACGTCATGGGACATTCTACTCACAGTGCTGCGACCTCCGCGGCATGGGCCACACAGGCCTCTATCGAGGAGGTTTGCAGGGCGGCGACATGGTCATCGCCCTCCCCATTTGTACGGCATTATAAGGTAGACCGATTTGCATCGGCGGACGCTTCCTTTGGAAGGAGGGTCCTTCAGCAAGTGGCCACTGGAGACATACCTAGAGCCCTCTCTGTTTCCCCCCCATTGGGACAGTAAGGCTTTGGTATGTCCCATTAGTGGATTCTCCATCT